GTGCCCCGCGGATACGCGCGCCCCGCTCCAACAATTCTCAACGGATTTACACTTCTCATAAACATGTGTTTTGTATGAGGCAGACAGACCGGCCCAAATATGGGCATCGGCCCTTTGGGCATTGCCCGGTACGCCCGATGGCCAGTCCAGCCCTGTTCGCTGGCATCCTTGAGCTTGGACTGCAAATTCAAAGGGATGCACAGTAGAGGAGGGCTGGGCCGAAGTGTTTTGTTAGACGTCCATGCCCTTATATGGCAGTCTCGCTGCAAATACTGTGACGTAATAATTCTAAACACGTAATAGAGAATGGCAAAATCAGAACGGGTTGAAAAATCTTACCTAAAAAGAATATGAAGTGTTCTCTGCAACCCATGAAGAGACTGATTTCAACTTTTTTGCACTTCTAGAGGCTCCAACTTCACAACATAAGGCATTTAAGACACAAAAAGTGGATTTTTCATGATATGTCCCCTTTAAAAGTCCTTGGTTCAGGTAAAAGCTCTGCAAGGTTGCTCAATAATTCTCTGCATTGGGGAAAATAAAAGGACATAGGGGACACTGTCTTAAAAGCAGTGAATTGATTTAAAGGACAGCGACATGACACAGAGTGTGGTCTCGGGGGAATGTTTAGAGATGACGCAAATTCTTAGGACTATTGTGGCAGCTCTAACATGATCCTGATCTCTTCGACATTGAGACGTCATGAGGATAAGCAGTTTGGAGGTGAGTGCGTCCTGTCTGCATACAAAGCACACCCTTGTCTTTATTTGAGGTTTACAATCCAGTTTTATAAAGATTTTGAATGTCATCCATTTCCTCCCAGACCTTTGCACAACCCGGTTAGACCAAGATTGATGGACCGCTGAGTGCCATATGCCCTGCCATTGTCTCTTGGGGACAAATACAAACAAGGTCAGTGTATTTTAATCAGTTAGATGTAAGCAAACTTCATCATGTGGACATTCACAGAGGTCAAAATGCTGGTATTCTATTGTCATTGGAAGGATGAAGATTTTGGAAGATTTTGTAAGCAACTGTGAAAGCCACACATTCGCACAAGCTCTAATTCTCTATTTTCAAAGGATTCTATAATTTAAATGACATACAACTTGCAAAACCTAAATTTTTCCCATGTTGTAATGTAACACAACAAGTCGATAGAAGACTGGACACATCATGATTAAATGCTGAGATGTTTTAATGTACTGTTTTACAACGCTTGGTAAATAACACAATACGCTCTGAGAATGCAAACACATCAGCAAGCTTATCTTAACTGTTAGCTTCCTTGTTAGGACTCATTTAGAAATCTATTTTGACAATAAGCGTGTGTCCTATAGCTACTGAAACTTAATGGAGTCAAAATTAGAAGTCCATAAACTGACAACATCATAACCACATCGTAACAATCCCTTGTATTTCTCTGCATCTCCTCGTTATGTCTCTCTCTGCTGTTCACAAACATAAACCACAGCTGATGGAGCAGTGTCCAAACTCTGTCCTCCGTCCAAGGGAAATTATTGTAGTCATTTTTAAGAAAAATGTCATGCTGTATACAGTCAGAATGTTCATTTATACTAAGTAGTAATGCGATAGGGGTAACAGACAGACTTCTTTTACCAGACTGGTAGAAAGTCTCTTGATAACAAAGGGAATAGGAAGATCAGTACAATATCCCAATTAAGCCTTGAAGAACAGTGTGAATCTGAAGCTTCAGTGCTATTTAGTTGAATGCTGCCCTGGAGGCACATTGTTGTTAGGCTTTTCTTATCAAACATGCAGCGCAGAGTGCCGACCATGGCGCCCTGTGGGCAACAGCACTTTCACAGGATTAACTGTGGAGTTGTATCTAATATTACCAAGTCTATCTTAACCCCCACCGTGTGCACTGAATACTCAGTGTGTGGGGCCGCACTCACAGAACAGGGCAGCAGCATTGTCCCTATACAACTGCTGCTGATTGGTAAACTGGTTTGGTTTTGTGTAGAGCATACGTAACAATGACCCAAATATGGATAGATCATAATTATCCTGAAAAGTACGTAAGTAATCACTTTTGGAAATGGGGTAGGCACTTATAAGCTTCTCTTGACCTACCCTGTTTGAGCTATATTTACTTCTTATTGTGGAAGTGCAAATACTAATTTCCCCACTGTGGGACGAATAAAGGAACTCTTACTAATTGTAGTTGCTCAAATAATTAAACTAATTTAAGTCAAGTCAGTATGTTCATTTGTGACCATTGCTATAACTCAACTAAACTTCTCTGACCTCTCAGAGACTTTTTAAGCCAATCAATCCTTACCTTTGCTAATAATACATAAGTGCAAAAACAAGGCATTACATTCAAGAGAGAATGGAAATATACATGTTATTAACTATCAACAAAACTCTTTTTTTGCAGTGATACTGAACAGTGGAATATAGTCTGTAAAATGATGAAGATGGGGAAAAGTAAACAGAGGGGAGAGGAGGTCCCAGGATTGGATTTGCGGACGGGCTAAGCTGCCTTCTGGTGCTACGTGACCGGCCTATCCCAGCCAAGGCAGACGGCTCAGGCTTATCTCTGCGCACACAAGCATCTGCAGGGGAGGTACAGTGGCATGGCTGTGGGCGGCAGTCAGAGCGTGACAGACTAACTCACTTATACTGGGCCAGGAGCTCTCCCCACTACACTCCATTCCTTTACTGGGGACTGTGGAGAGGGCAAACGTACTGGACAATAGCTAATTAATGAGGCACATGTACAGACAAGCTTTAATTTGGATTCATGGATCAAACTTTTGTTACAACAGACAAGTCTGCCACTGGCCCCATCTCAAGAATCCAAAGGAGAAAAATCCACAACCAGATGGAGGTTATAGGATAGTGTGGCACATAAGGATCAAATTAACCTCAGATTAGTAAAAAAAAAAAAGAAACAAAAGTGTATGAGCAATAGTATATTTGAACGTGAACTATGAACTCTTAAAATATGAAACTAATATACAAAGTGACATATATCAAGCTATTATTTGTAAGGCATAGTCAAAGGCTTGACATGTCACTTCCTGTGTAATTAGTCTATATCATATATTGGTTTTATATTTTAAGTGGAATTACAGAAATGAATTAACTTTCTCAGCCAGAAGGTCCTGGGTTTGAATCCCGGTCGGGCCAGGGCCTTTCTGAGTGGAGTTTGCATGTTCTCCCCGTGTCTGTGTAGGTTTCCTCCGGGTACTCCGGTTTCCCCTACCGCTAAAAACCTGTACAATAGGTCTGGTATGCGCCTCCTGTACTGGTGACCCTGCTCCCATCTCTGCGTGGAAATGCCAAAAAATAACAATTGTAAACCGCTTTGAGACTCTGATCTGCAGTGAAAAGGCGGTATAAAAATAAAGATTACTTACTTACTACTACTACTTTTCCTAGGGCCGTAGTTGTACAGACAAAGCCTTGAACTAGGAAACATGAATGAATTATAAAACAAGCAGAGAAAAATGACCCTTCATTATAGATCATGACAAATACTACACAAGGGTGCGCTGAGGTTTTACAATCACATTTCAGCCCACTGAGCCTGTCCCATTTCCATAGGTTTTGAACATAAAGCTGCCCCTGTGTTGTGTGTTTGTAATTGCCACCTCTGGCCATGATCCTGATGTGTAAACACAAGATGAGCCACCTGGGACTATCACATCAAACGGGGAAAGAGCGGCGCCGCTGTACTGCCCGCAGCGCAGGCTATAACTGTCAACTCCTCTGTGATCAACTGCTTCAAAATGCCACAATGCAACCAAACAGCTGCCAGAAGCACAACAATACACTCAAGGTCAACAGATACCATTTGGACAATTCTAGGATAAGGAGCTGCCATTTATGAGAATTTAATCAATATAATCACTTGTTGGACAGAAAAGTCAACAAATTATTTGGCTATTGACAAAGACCCACTATTTCGGATACATCACCAACTAAGTTTAAGGATATGTAGCTGTTTTCAAGCTACACTCAAAGCATAATGTAAATCTGAATGGAACTCTGAACTCTTCTAAAAAAGATTAAGTGGAATTATAATCTTCCATATATTGAGCAGCTGCTACTTTGACCAGAGCCTTTTAAAGCCTTGCATGAAAAAGTGCATATTAAGACGACACTGGTGAGAAGTTAGCATATTGCCCGCCCAGCACTTGTCCCTTCACCGCTCGACCCTGCAGCGAAAATCCAATGAATAACTAACAGAGGAATAATCGCTCAAACAGCTCAGTGACAGCCGCGAGAGTTCAGCAGCAACACATGTACATGTGTTTATTAATATTTCCTCTGTGAGATACAGTGCTGTGTTTGCATAGTCAAGCGTCTCACAGTCACTGTTCTGGACACTCAAAGATGCTTCACATTATTCAATCACCGTCTACGTGATGGTGGTAAACAATACTGTAGCTACAGCTGCCCTGGAGCAAACTGAGAGAACCAAGCCAACTTATCTGTACCATCGGCCCCTCTGACCACCAGTAATCATTCATGCACACATCAGACTCATACAAGGCAATGCGGGTGAAGTGCCTTGCCTAAGGACACAAAGACTAGCCGCACTGTCGCCCCACTGGTGTGCAAATGATGTTCCCATAGGTCTCCCAAAACGCTAAGCTTCTGAAGCCTGACAGGATCCTGCGTTCACATGCAGGTATAGCCACAAAAGCACGCTAGAATCTAAAAATAGACAAATTAAAGCAATGCTGTATGTTTTGTTTAAGCTATATAAATGAAATCGCTGTTGTACGACCTTTGTGTGTCCTTCATGTAAAATGTAGAAGTGTGAAAGGCATAGTGCGATAACACTAAGTTGTTCTGGTGCTGATAAAGTCCTTCTGTCGGTAGTGTCTGTCCATGCTGGTAACAGGTTAGCTTCAGTCGTGCTCCCCACATATATTATGATAACAAGGTGGAAAAACAGAGTGGTGTGAGCAAGGAGAGGAGAGAGGCCACACTGGAGGAAAAAGGCAGAATAAGCTGAGAAATCATTGGAGTGAAAGAGAGAAGAGCTGTGAGGCCTGGAGGAGTGCAGCAGCTATCCTCTTAGAGCCCATTATCGACAGGGACATGCTGTGAATGCTCTCCCTCAGCACCAACACGACAGCTGCTTCAGCACCAAGGACAGCACCACATCCTCTGCAGCGCCTGCAGAAGCTCTGGACGCAAACAATTCTACAGGAAAATGTCAAGCGCTTTTGAAAACATCGGAAATTAATACATAGGTACACAAGTGGAACTAGCAGTATATAGTTGTTGACAGAAGAAAGACAAAGAGTTCATTGAATTATTGGATTACTAAAAAGCTTTCACTGAACAATTTGATTAAAAATGGTTTAGTGTTTTATAATTACTATGAAAACTACAGGGTGCATATCGCTCTGAAAGTTATGGACTTATGTTGAAACAAAGATAGGGCATTTAAACCACGTAGAAACTATCTTAATCCTAGAATTTGAAGAGATCTACAAAACCTTTAGGCGCCAAAAATTGGAAAATTACTGCAGGAAGTTCCACGACACTTGCTGCACAGCGATCTGGCTACAAATGTTTCCCCAAATTTTTCATACATGCTTTGCTGTTAATCGTTTCTGTTATTGATTCTAGTAGTCCTCTATCTCTTATGAAGTTTTAGGGCTCCATCGTTGCCTTTTTCACGTCAGATTTATGAAAACTATGAATACATTTTTGTTCTAAAAAAGAAATCATTGATAGATTAGATGGAAGAGAGAAACAGGTTGGGACAGTTGGAATGTCTGTGTGTTGAGTCATAAAGAAAACTAAACTAAACTAAGTCCACTCTGCTATCGCCTTACCAAGCAATTTGTGTAAGCTCTCAGTCGTACAGGGATTAGTCAAAGCAAAGGAAGGTTTCTCACCCATCATCTGTACTTCTTAGCAAGTTTTCCCGACGTTTCGTCCTCAAACTAGCGGACTTCTTCAGGGAATGAATTCTCGGACCGCGCGTTGGAGATTTATAACCTATGGGTGTGGTTAGCCACACCCTAATCCTGACTCATAAACAATCTAAGGTCTGCTTGATGTAGAAGGGAGCAGGTCTAACGACCCTGCTGAGGCTAACGACCCTAACTCCTTAGCATGTCACAGACCTATTGTCTGCTGGGATGCTCAAGTGGAGTGCAGGTCACACCCCTCCTAACTCATTAGCATGTCACTGACCTTGTCCCAAGTTAGGGCGTTGTTTTTAGGATGTCGTCATAGATGCGAGGCAAAACAAATCTTAACCCTCCTCCTCTGTTAAGAGAAGGTTTTTGTTTCCTCACAAAAATGGCTTCTTTCACCCCTCTCTCAAACCAATTCTTCTCCCGAGCCAGAATTTTAACCTCAGTGTCATCCACCGTGTGGTTGGAGGCCTTGAGGTGGAGATGAACAGCCGACTGTGGCCCACTAGAGTTTTCTCTACGATGTTGGTAAAGTCGTTTCTGTAGAGTTTGTTTGGTTTCTCCAATATAGTGGTCAGTGCACTCCTCTTCACTACATTTAATTGAATACACCACACCACAGTTTGAGGACGAAACGTCAGGAAAACTTGCTAAGAAGTACAGATGATGGGTGAGAAACCTTCCTTTGCTCTTACCAAGCAATGTCTCTGATAATGGTCCACAGCTGTCAAGGTTTTCTCTGGCGTCTCAGAGAGGTCGCTGCAGTCGCTTTTAATGACGCACAGGTCAAAAGTGCGGCAGAGAACTGGCGACCAGGAGAGCTGAAGTCACGTGTCAAAACACCGGAGGCCTTCGCAACTTGACTAACTGAAATTCTCCCTTTACTCTTTCTTATAACCGTTTTGGAGGGACATTGCCATATGAACGTCACTCAATCAGTCAGTGGCTTTATGCAACAGGGGTGAAAGCGCCACCGGTGTTTTCACAGCATGAGTCTCATTGGGCGCATTATTGAAATGTCTGTGTTGAATGTGCGATGTGGCTGTAATGACGAGTCTATCTGAAGCTTGGCAGACAGCACAGCGAGAGGCCTGGCACATTATTACTATCCCATTAGAATAAATTAGCATGATCAAGCCCTGGAGGAACTGTGTGGCTCCAAGTTTACTATATGAAAATGCCAAGGGGCGTTACTCTCTAGATCCCATCAAGATTGGGAGTAGAGGGAGCATCCCGTCAGTAATCAGTGTCCAATTATGGGAACAGTGGAGATGAGTGACAGATGCACTTTCACTCGACGCCTTTATTCAAATCGGCTTTTATCTAGGACACCATCACCCACAGCAAATTACCAACAGTGGTGACGCATGCTTAAAAGGCGCCTATAAATCATTGCATTGAAAATATATAATTGCAGTCTCAAATTCAATTTGTTTTTATGGAGGATAACATTGCACTTGGACATAAAAAGGAAGTCCACTTATGACACTATGTGGCATTAGGGCTTAAACTAAAAAATCACCATGAACCAGGCAATACTAGTTGCTACTTAAGAACAATAGTGATAATGCAAATGTATGCAATATTTCTGTATAAATAATTAAATATAATAAAATAGTTTTTTCATTCATAAACTTTTCCACTTGCAGCTCGAGAAACAAACTTTTGGTTAAGTTGCTGAAAAGAACAAAACAGGACATGAAGAGCAACAACTTATAAACAATGCAGTTCCATGGTTCTTGGTTGGAATTTATTACTATCTATTAGTATTGCAGTCTTTGATTAATATAATAATCCAAACACACAATTAACAAAGCCTCATTCGGTTCTTGTTCTTGAAAACCATAAACATAGATATTATGAACAGAATTGCATTTTCATCCATCTGCTGTTCAGAGAAGTTTAAATGTGATTTGTAAATGTTGACCTGTCATCTGGTGACGCACACTGTATACATTTGATAGATGTACTTTAAAATGAAATGTAAACGAAAAAAAGTACATAGACAAAAAGAGGAAACTTGGAGTAAAACTGGATAACAGTAGAAAACAATCTCATCTTCATCGCTACCATTACCACACTGACCCTCTCCCACTGAACCAATATAGACGCCCACAAATCAATGGCTAGCATCTGTATCAGTCGATACATGATGACTGTGTAGAAAGCCGGCAACATGCACCACACTACATTCCTTACCTCCTCTTCACCTACAACCCTATAGCCCCCTCTCTGCCCCACGATATAATGTGACACAAGTCCTTCTCTGACCTCAGCCCAAGCTAAAGATCATCTCCTGCTGCATTATACCACGACTACAGGATGTTTACCCTGCACTTATTTACATATACCACAGACAGGCAGGCTGAAGGACAAGCAGGGAAAAACCTTACTCACGTATATGGAAATGAGGTGGCTGCCTTTTTAATACATCGACATAATCATTTAGAAGTCTTGAATTTGAGACATTCAAGACGTTACAGGCATGTGCTTCAACGTATTTGGGTCATCATCAGTCAGCGGGGTGGAGAGGTGGAAGAAGCGCATCAATAAAAGATGTATTTTGCATAATTAATAAGTCATGTGGTAATAGTTGTAGTAGGGATATCAGTAGAAGTCATGATAGTATTGGTAACAGATGGTAACACATTCATACAATGTTGAAAGTTTACTGGTTTAAAGCTGGGGTACACTTTGTTTTTTCATAAATTATACACTCTGCTTGCCTAAAGAGAAAGACTTTTGTACAAGTGAAATTCTGTCAACAAATCAGGCATGCTGTCCTTATGATACATGTCATCTTTTACTTACTTTTAAGAAAGAGACCTGTGATTTAAGGGTGAGGGCTGACTATTTTTTACCATTCTGTCTGAAAAAGCTGATCTAAAGATGTGACTGTAGCCAAAAATACACGCACGTGAAAACTGTTTATAAGCCATTACATAGCTCTATTTTTTTGTGGTTTGAAAGTCAAGTACTCCAGCTTTAAGAAAGAAAGCAGTACATTTCCGACTGCTCTCCATAGATCTCCAGTTGCATTTATGAGTTTCAAATTAGTTTATCTCCTCTTCATTTCATGGTCTCCCAACAGTGGGCTCCCACAAGAACACTTATTCTCTTGCCTACAAGACTAATATAAAAATAGCAGATATTCTGTTCTCCACCAAAACATAGTAGGGTAGGAAATCCCAAACGAGTGATGCACTTAGAATGTCTAGACAGCAAATGAAGTGGTATATACCAACAGGGAAATGTAACCAAGTGAAAAGTTCAGGCCAGCAGCAGCGTGTGCATTAACTTTTAAACTACAAGCGCTCAGAATAATAATGAGGCAATCCCTGATACTCAGCAGCAATGTATAATGTAAGAGAAGATACAAAATAAGTGCACATTAAAATCAGATTTAATGTTACAATAATAGATAGCTTATCCCAGGGGTCTCCAACCTGTTGCTCGGGAGCTACCAGTAGCTCGCCAGCCCCTTTCAGGTAGCTCCCCAAAGGATTTAGAATGTATCACATGATCTTGAATGATTCACTTTTGAGTCATTACACATCTATTATAAGTATAAATGGTATTTTTTCTGTTATCTATGTTTTGTCGTAATTATTACATAGACTTCTATTATGACCACGAAAAGGTGTAGCTCTCTGCCTCTTCTGATTTATAAAAGTAGCTCTCCGATTGAAAACGGTTGGAGACCCCTGGCTTAGCCTATTATGCAATAATGTAGTTTTCTTCAGGATAGGTCAAGCAAATCACTTAAGGTTATAATTGAACTAAATTATATGAAAGATTTGTAAGAAAGTGTTGTTGTCATATTCTCCTTCAACAGTCTATTTCGCTGAACATTCAGAGCTTGTGGAGAATGTTTTTGAATCAGGAACTGCATTAAATAGAAAAGCCCTGGCAGATCAGCAGTGAGAAATCTTGACATTGCTGGTGAAGTTGTTATTTACCTATAGTGTAGCCTCTCTTCAGCTCTCCCACTCTGGGATTGCGCCTCTGGGAGTTGGTGGTGTTATTCTCCTGCACCACTAGCGTCTTGGCTACAGGTGGCGCTGTCCTGTTGAGAGGTGAGGATGGCATCAAAGTGGGGGAAAAACCCTGGCTGGCAATATCCACCGACTGAGACTTCTTCTTGAGTCTGGAAGAGAACAGGAGAGAGAGGATACATTTAGCAATTACATGTTACCTTCACAATTCAAACAGATTAATTCAATGCAAGAAAAAGAGCTGGTTTTCCTGCAAGGGGCATAGAAGTTAAAAGAACAAACACATTAAATTAACTAATTAGATTGTTAAAGGTATGTATTAGTTTTTCTTAGCATGTCTGACTGAGGCGTCTCTACAGAAAAGTCTGCTAAAGCAGTGGGATCTCACAGAAGGCCAGCCCGATGCCAGGGCAGACAAAATGTGAGTTGGAGAGAGTTTTGGAGGAAACTCTATATGAATACAGAAGTTCTGAAAACAAAATTGGTGCATTCCTCAACTGCTGATGATTTTTCAATTAGGGATGGTTGTATTGTTTTAAAGTAGTTTTTAGAGTGAGAAATACTAAATAAATAAATAAAAAAAATATTGAAAACGTAATGGAATCATACTCATATTAAAAAATAAAAAGATTGTCATTTTACTTAATCACAAGGACTGATTAAACAAATTACCAAAAAAAAAAATTATAAAAAAAAAGAAAATCCATTCCCTCAATTTACAGTTTGCTTCACACATAGAGAAACACGGGATCACACTAATACATACAGAGAAGTGAAGAATAGCTCCAGAAATACTATCCATCTCCAATCGTAAAAAGTCCTGAAGCAGCAATCGGAGCTCCGGAGCGCGCACTTTCAATCACTGGGCTAAAACTGCTGAAGCGAACACCAGCTTTCTGTCCATTTCAGCGCATCCCCTGATGGAGCAAAGGCGCGCACACGACAGTGTCCAACAGCCAAATGAAAATGCATAATCTCAATGGAAGCACTGTCCATCACCAAGTTTGTGCTGCGTCCTGTTCAACTCCATGTTGGGCTTACGAGACAGTAGTGGAAATATTATAATTATAATTATTATTAGTGTTCTTTTGTTATTGTTTTTTATTGATATGTGCTTTTATGTGTGGTTAAACAAGGTAAAAGTACAGGGACAGTTCTCCAAACACTCATCACTTCCTCACAAAGAAGGATTAAGGATTCAACAAAACACATGGATGCTGTAGAATTGCATTTTGTTTCGATTTCTTGGCTTGCCTCACACGCTGTGGCTTCAGGGATTAAAATGGCACCTATAGACACATTTTTACTTTAGGCATTGAAGATAGGGGGCTATCAATTAAAAACAGCTAAAATACCCTATGATTGAGGTCAAGAAAACAATGATCTATTTACTAAATAACAAAACCCTTGTGCTATTTGAATTATTACTTTTTGACTCCCAGTTGGCAAGGATCTGTAGGAGCCTGCAGAAACTGAAGAAGGATTGTGTCTTCCCTTGAGGTATGTTAAGGTTATTTATCTCTGTAGGGCTATGGGTCCTGTGAATTTTACCCATCCTTTAATGCTGCTTAGTTCAGCGCTTGAGGCCCCATCTCCATTGTACTTGTTTTTAGTGGTACGGGAAACCTCAGGACCTTCTTGCCTTCACACACATGATTGTTCTTTCATCAAGATGTGTATTTTCATTAATTTGATTCATATATTTTTCATCTTTTTTCTTTTAAATGTTTTCATTTAAACTAAACTGGGCCAAAAGTCCAATATATTTTGACAAAGGATTTCATATGATATACTTTGATTTAGTGAATGTGTTAAAACCAGTTTGTGAATCTCCCTCTCACTGTTCTAGAACACTGCTGTATTTCCTTCACAAACTGCAGCGTTATCAGTATAAAACTATGATAAACTGCATGTGCAAGGGTGATTTCTACGGGGGAAAAAAATACAATAATGAAAATACAAAAATCCTCACAACATACACAAACATAGCGGGGAGACACATTGCATCAAAGTGAGTCAAGTCTATGTCCTCTTCCCCAGGAGCTTGGGGCACTAATTACGGTCTCATCAGTGAAGCAGAAGGCCCTCTACTCGCGCTCTCACACTGAGCTACAAGGATACAATACGACACCAACAAAGTCAAAGATCAAACAAGGGGGAGGTGTCGGAAACTATAGTTAGAGACAGAGATCTTTGAGTGTCTTGTCGTAAAGAGGACAGTGAATTAACATTAGAGTTAGATGTTTTCTATAAAACAATTTTTGGATTTACACAACAACTTGGAACTACAACAAAATACTCCAAGTTAAAGTCACTGCCAACCATATATTCACAAAGCGTGTTTCAAAAAGCCAAGATACAAGTTTAACGCTTGAACAACAAAGTGTTTATCATTTTATAACAGATGCAGTAAACACCAGAGCATCTGCATATTCTTAGAAAGACTTTGTGCATAAGGAAATGACGCAATACGGTCTTCCCACTTCTATCTCGTGGCTGCATGACCCAGTTTGCATCAAAGATTCTAGTGAATTATAAAATCATTCAGTCAAACTATCAACATATGCTTAAATAAATGATCCTCCCGTTGTGCATAGGAGTTGCCAGCAGTTATTACCCACTTTTGAATAGTTCTTGAGCGAATATAGTCTCAACCTTCTTACCGTAAAGTGAAAAAATTGCCAAAGCTTGCATTAGCTATATTCTTATCATTGAGGAGACAAGCGCACTGGGAGGCAAAAAGGAAGGCGAGCAAATGCATAGGTTAGTTTGATTTCCACACCTTTGCTGTGCTGTGCCTGAGCCATAAGGCTGTAATATGCTAGCTCCCCTGCCAAACAACCATCACAAAAGATTATCAGCCACTTTAGGGATCCACGCGGTCTGGCATAGAACGAGTAAACAACAAGGAGAAATTTGTGGCTAAGTCAAAACACTCTTATCGCTTCCTCACTAAGAAGGATTAGGGATATGACAAAACACATGGATGCTGTTGAATTGCATTTTGTTTCCATTTATTGGTCTGCCTCACATGTAGTGGCTTCAGGCACAAAACTGCAAAAAACAACTATATGCAGATTATAACATTAGGTGTAGAAGATGAGCGGGCTACTAGAAAACCCTATTGAGAAATGTTCCATTTTTAACAAGAAGGTATTTAAATTGATAATTAACTTTGTCCATTAAAGTTTATAAAGAAGCTATACCCATTTTTTTCTAATGAGTTCATAAAAATGCTTATTACTACATTCAAGTTGTATTATAATCCGTAATTTAATTGAAAACTTGAGCTCATTGATTCGGCTTGTGTATGAATTCAGGCCGTAAAAGTGCTGAGTACAGACTTGGCGTGACGCCCGCCACGCCCGGACGCCACGCCCGGACGCCACGCCCGGACGCCACGCCCGGACTATCTATGCTCGGACTACATTCGGACGCGAAACTAGCGGTAATCTTTCAGTTATACTGTATATTTTGTTAGCAGTGCATTGCTTTTGTACAATTTCATCAGTAATTGTTGTACAGCTTACTAGAAGTTGCGCTCATGCTAATGTTAGCATATGTATCAGATCGCAAATAAAACTAGATGGCTCCATGGAATGAGAGCGTAGGGGAAATGAGAAGCCTGTGAGTTGAGGGGCGGTGCTAAACATTCAAAGCTTGCAGAAACGGGTATAGCTCCTTTAAGAAGGTGAAAATAGTATCAAAGGAGGTTGAAAATTTGAAAATGACTGGCTGCAAACACTGTCACATGATTGTAAAGAGCATAATTTCAATTGCCAAAACTAATTTATGGGAAGTGTGTTTCTGAAGACTGCTCTGAGCTTAATGTCATTATGGTACAATGATCATCATATTCAGGACTCATTCTGCGATTTCAACAACTCATTATAATGTTTAGGTATTTTAACATAAAATCCCAGAAAAGTAAACTTTGCAGAAATGCCAACTTCAAGAGGGAGCAGCAGTAAAGGATCCAAATAGAGAAAGTAAAAAAATAGAAAAAAAAGTCACCAAAGTACTTTTTGTTGCTTTTGGAAATGTATACTATAGTATTGTATGCTTCACAGGACTATGATTTTCATTCAGATCGCCTCCTAAGCTTTACTAATTCATATGTTCAATGAATGATGATTCAAACACATTGTCCTGTGCTAGATGAAGCTTGTAGTAACAAAATCCCGAGGGAAATTACTATGAAACAGCTCCAAGAATTGCAAGTCTCTTTCAGGATTTTTTTTTCTTCCTGCAGCTCTCAACTTTATTGATAGTGATACGGAAGATTGAAAGCGCCTTGTTTTATAATTATACAGATGAGAAAATATGAAATAAAGTGCTGTAAAGGCAGAATGTTTTTCACCAACGAGACATTTACACAGCTCCTGAATTATAATTAAAAACTACAACAATGATTATTTTAGTGTCAGCTTTTATTACACCATCGTTGTCATTGATTTGAGGAACAACTGTAATCAATACTAAACACTGTACAGCATTGAACAATACACAAGTCTATCTTCAAAAAATATATAAACACATAAACAGCAACAGCGAAGGAGGCAGCAGCGGTGTTTGCAATCCTGGGACATGGGGCCGGATCAGCGGCGGAAGTGCATGTAAATGAGCTGGTGTGATAATGAAGGAGTGCTGCTGTCCCACACCTCCGCATAATGATGTATGGACCACAGTGCGGCGCGCGGCTCATCTGCCCCGCTAAATGCCACAGCAGCAATTCTGTGTCAGGGGCCAATGTGCTGCGTTTGACCAATGAGCCTTTAAACTTAGATGGCTTCAGTAACAACGTGTGAGGAGAGAGGGAGCTAAAGGCCAACCAGGAGAATTAAACAAGGAACGATAAGGAGGATACGTCTGCGGAAAAAAAGGCTGTGATCAATGTTTTGTTAATCATCTTCTCGTTATTATTACTGAAATCTTGATTTTGCAAACCAAACCAATAATCAATCTCTGCTCTTTTAAATGAACTTTGAAGAAATCATGAATGGATTCTTGACCGAACCATCTTGAAACATCAATAAAGTATAGAACAGCTTTTATTTTCAACAAGGAAGGTTCTTAACTATCTTGACTCTTTAACTTTAACGACTTAATACTTTCGATCTTTTCAGACATTATGTTACCTCAACCATTGTGGATATCCATAATGTGTTTTGTTATGACAGAAGACGACCACACGAGGCCAAGGGAGGGGAGAAGGGCAGGTTTCACATCACACCTCGTTGTAAAAGCCAGATCTGGTCAGATCTCAGAAGCAAAGCAGAGCACAGCCGTGAATGGGACACCGCTGGGAATACCAGGTGCCACAGTCGGCCAGCAGAGGCTGTGAAGAGACACTTCACTCACACTGCCTTCTATACATCTGGGGTGTGAAAGACGGGATTGTGGTGGTCACAGGGTTAGGGGAGGCAGCCCCGCTTCCATCATTCTGCCCAAGGGCAGCTGTAGCTGAATTGTTACATACTTACATTGTGTGATGAAGAGTAAATAATGCATAACATTGTAGTGTTTGTGTGACAAGTGCAATATAAAGAAATGTTTCTTAGTTAAATCGTTAATAGACAACAACAAAAATCAACCAAGGTTGTTACACATAACACTCTCAGAATAACAGAATGTTATGACATTGGCAGGGCACGCAGTTGACTCTGTAAAGTATTATATTATTCAGCAGCTGAAGGCCAAACACAAATGCAATGGACAAAGCCAGTTGCTCTCTTTCAAGTAAATCTTTACTCATGTTGACTTCAAAAGCAGAAAACAGTTCTAGCACAATGGGGAGAAATTAAAAGTGCTTTAAGGCAAAGGCAAATGGCCACTTGGCAGACCACAACAGCCACCAACAGGCCGGAAACAATACTTCTGTCACTTGGGAAGATCTGCCTACTGAAGTGAAACAGAACTGAAGTGAACAGATTATTTATAGACCATATATATCAGAAAAAAACAACTTTTTGTCATAACTAACTTAACTTTCTGTTTATATCATATAGGAATCCAGATTGTGCCCAAAGGTTTTTGCTTAATTGACAAATGGGGGGAGACAATCTTGCTCATGCAGTCGCTGTGCGTGAATCAGACGCCTCTCAATCAGATGCAGCCTTCAGCTCTGTGCTCTGGGCCTTGGGACTGCTCTGCTGCAGTCCCACACTGTCCTCCTCCTCCTCTTCCTCCCGGTTGCTAGCCTCCATCCTGCTCCTATGCTCTGATTGGTCGAGGGCCAATGACAACAGGCTCACCATTGGTTAATTTAGAGTAGTACTGTAGGTGTGACGTCAATGCTTGTGGCGGAGCAGAAATCACAAGCTGGTTCAGAGAATTTGCAGTTTGAGCATTTGTATGGACAATCATGTTAGATCATTATATCTCAGAAGAGCAGCAGGGCAGTGCAGGCAGCAAAGATGAAAAGAAGGATTTTAATCATGGCAGTTAGGCCTGACACCCCACGCAACATTTGATTTGTGAAGAAAGAAAACCACACTGACATCTTCAGGCAACAACAACTGCATTTCATCAAATTAAACATGCTTTTTACAGCATCGGTTTATGTTGAACCATGTACGGCACTTGTTAGGACAAAGTTCACTTTGGTCAAAATTATGAGAAAAACACAAGTGTGATTTCCAGCCCAGACATTCTGAGTTGGTAAAGTTAATAAAAAATCTGTCAAATAATATTTCACTCACTGAACATTAATAGGTTGTAGAATTCATAATGGAGCGCAAGTGCCAACTCAACTCTATGGGAAAAGAAATGTTGAAATGTTTCCCAGATCATTATTTGATAGTGATTAGATTTACAAAGCTGAAAATCATCTCTACTGGCCATCATGCATGTTCAAAAATATTCTCACAACTTTTAGACATGTTTATGAGGAATTACACCAGAGTTGTTTTATACTGAAAAAGAATATGCAGAACTGTGTGGATGATTTTAAGAGGAAAGCGCCCAGGTATTACTGAAATTAGTCATACACTAACAAGTCTAACTCAGACTAGAAGTCTGACATTTACCACAGTTACCAGGAAATCAATTTCAACTGCCTGCCAACACAATTTGAAACCAAAAGCTCTTTGGAAATACGCAAATAGTTTTCTCCCTTTGTGTTGGCTGACCTGTTCCAAAAAGTGAAAGCATGTCAAAGTGCCATGATATTGGAAGTCTATAAAAACTTTTAGATTTTTCGGCATAAATCATACATTTATTTTTCATTATTACTATCAAGATACATTATGTTTGTCTCTGCACGTTTTCCCAGCAGTCTTTGTTTGCTGTCCCCTAATTAGCCCTTTTGGTTCCTGTTGGCACATCTTGGGAAACAACATGGGCAGAGCTGTCAGAGATTCATGATACTCCAGTGCATGATTAATGCTGGGTTTTATGGACAGCAAGCGGCACGGCTCACCAATGTTACCTTGTTTTTTATAGTCCAATGTCCCATAACAGAGAACAAGGAAATGTAAACAACTTACTGACCTGGGCCTGTTATTATAACACATTCCTTACCTGGACTAAGGGTAACACATTGTTTTTCTTGTGGCTGTATATATTTATAAATATTTCAGAAATGGTGTTGTGTGTTGTAATTACTGTACTATAAGCCCCCATGACACCATTGACTCTGCAGAATGACTCTCAACATGGGATACATGAAGGACACACCATCACATCACTGGGACTATGGCCTTGGACACAGTAACATATTGCCGTCTCTTGGCAGGACAAGGGCACCGAGACGACTTACTCAGAGAGCAGATGTGAGGCATATTATGCATTTGTGGCAGCTTGTAATCACATTTGTTTGATGTATGCAGTGTCACCAAAGATAGGTTTGTACATTATACTAATACTTTTTTCACTGGATTGTCTTGTATATATATCGTTCCTAGTTTCTCATTACATGTCTGTTACCAGCTTGACTTGTTGGAGTTCCATGTTCCACAGTATCTCTATTGTCTCCATAACAATATCGCCCCTTGCTTTAAGGCTAGACCTGCCACGGCTTAAACGTTCACGCTCTGTTGTGTTGGCAGCAATTGGTGCATCTGTTCGTTGTGGGTTCGACGGCAGCCACATCTGTCACTGCCGGTGTCACTGTGGCAGTTGATCATGACACACAAATCCTGGCAATGTGAAGGCAGAAGCAGATTTACAACCCAGCCGATGCTAATTTACAACCTGTTTTTATGGACAAAGTATTAATGTTCTTTATCTAAATAGTTCTCCTGCAGATGCACAGGCCAACAGGGAAATCTTTCCATGGGTTTTCTCCATACTTAAGACTTATTATGAAAATTTACTTGAGCTTTCAACCATGTTTCAACAATGTTCCTCATGAAAAACAGACCTGGTGTTGTTTTTAGATCCATCCATGCTAATATCAGGAACTGCCCCTTCGGTCTTAAAGCTCCTGTCTCAGTCTTAAATAAAAGCTGAGCTGAAACAAAAGCATTCATATATTTTCAACGTAAAGGGTTATTTCACATCCTTAAACATGAAAAGTATAAAAAGTATAATTTTATTTTTTGATTGCAAAAAATAATTGGTAATATTTGTTCTTTAATATATCATAACAAGGAGTGATAATGAAGATGTTAAAATCCATCTTGAATCAAAAAATCATGCATGACAAAACATTTTGTTATGGTTCCAAGGATTGACGGCATGTGGGAAGTATTTCTTCTTTTGACAATTGTCACTAATTTTGGGAATTGACTCATTCCTATTTAATAAAAACAGTGGGTGACGAAAGTGTTCCGCCTTGGGGACTTTATTACGCAGACTGATAATGTATTACACAGTTGTAGATCTGAGCCTTTTGTCTAAAAACTGCACAAAAAGTCCTCACATAACTAAACCGTGGGCAAAAAAACAAAACAATACATGCTTGAACTTAAGTTAAAAAGGACCTGATGTCAAAACTGAGCTAAAATTATGTTATGCAGTCCTGATGTGTCTGCTCCTTTGTGCATCAACAAAACATGGTAAACACTTCCCTGCAGAACGAGTTGTGGTGTTTTGGATATTTTTTCTCTTCTTGCAAAATTGACTGTGCAAGGTCAGATTGTCCGCCACATAATAAGAAAAGAAAAACCCGGGGGGTGGTTAGGTGGCCGTGGTCAGAAGAGTGGGGGGAGCACGTTGGCTACTTGAGTGCAATATCAATAAATAATTACAGGGCAAAATGTGTATGGTTAAATGCAGTGAATGATTAAATATAGGGGGCGACAGTAGCTCAGTTGGTAGAGCATTGGCCTTCAGGCCTGAAGGTTGTGGGTTCATTCCCACCTCTACACCTTCTCCACCGACTCCCACTGATGACTGCTGTCGTTGTGTCCTTGGGCAAGACACTTAACCCCACTTTGCCCAAAAGCCCCCACTGAAAGATCAAGGCTATGCTCACACTCAGAGAGCAGCCGTCCTCCTGTGGACTCACCACCTGCAGAGGGTCAGTGAGGGGCTGGTGCTATGAGACTTGGGTGGCATCTCTGACTGCCACCCCCCTGACCCAGAAATGGATTAAAGGGAAGAAAATGGATGGATGATTAAATATAAACTGTTATATAAAACAGTTTATATGTAGTTTTGGGAGATTTTGAGAGACTGAAACTACCGAAGTACAAAAAAAATAATAAACCTGATGGCTGAGTAAATGACACTACTAAGAAGCAGTCCGTGAAGGTATCTTGT